GTCAGCAACGGCGGTGCATATACATTGGAAGTGCTGGGCTCCCCTTGCAGAGCAACATCAGTTCCAGAGTCATATCAAAGGCCTTGAAACCATATTACCAAGACTGACTTTAAGAAAAGCAGACTTTATAGAAGCACAGGCCAGAGAAGAGCCCAGCAGATTAAGCACTGCTTCATTCAGCCGCACCTGCCATTAAGCTAAAGCCGGCTGCCCTCCCAAAGTTTACTGGTATCCGACGAGAGTTTCAGCGGTGGAAAAAAGATTGGGAAGCGCTCCAGATGCAGGGAGAACCTACTGGATCCAAAGAAATCAAAACAATTCCAGCTACTTGACAGTTTAGATGGAAGGACCATACGGGACTTTCGTCTTACATCTCACACAACAGCTGAAGAAGTTTTCCGGGTCATAGAGAACCGCTTTGGAAATAAAACCACAATTGCCCTTGAAATAGTGGAGGAGCTCCAGAGATTCCCAGCTGTTAAAGGCCAGCAGCCCAGGAAGATTGTTGAGCTCATACAATCAGAAGAGAAAGCTCTTATTAACCTGAATGAGCTTGGTAAGACCGGCGCTATAAAAAACCCTCTTGTTACAAAAACAATAGAGAGTAAACTCCCGGATGGCTTAAAGAAGGAGTGGCTTCTCCATGTATCCGGCAAAGGTGATGAAGCCGAAGAAGACAAACGTTTTGACTACCTCTTGGCATTCCTACAAAGTCAAGAAGCCATCTATGAGAAGCTGGACCAGTTGAAGTAGGAGGAGTCAAAAACAAAATCTGAACCACAGATAGCCCGGACTAGAACCTCCACCCAACCAAGCAATCAGGCTCAAGGATGTGTGGTCTGTGGCGATGTGAAGCACAAGAGAAGATTATACTTCTGCCAAATGTTTTGCACGCTCAAACTATCAGAGAGGAGAGATGCTGTCAAAAACTGGGCGCATGCAAAAAATGTCTGGAGATTCACAATGACAATGAATACTGTAAACCAGAGTTCCTGTGCAAAAAGACAACAACGCACTGCTGAACACCATTATTACCTCTGTCCGAGTGCTGAAGTGTCATGGGGAAATGCTACGCAGAGACCCAAAGAGAGCACAGTCGGAGGGCGTTACACCCAAGTCCAAGAAGATTTCATAAAGAGCCTGTCACCTGAGCTTGCAGAAAAGTGCCGTCATGTCTTTTGCAACAGTGTGGCCAAAACCTCTCTCATGTCTAAACAGCCTGGTCCTCTGTTGGAAAATGGATTAATGGAATGGCCTGTCATCATGATGTTATTAGGAGTCACAGCCAATGCAGTACAAAAAGTTGGGACACCAATCGATCTAGCATCGGATACAAACTACATAACTCATGATGTAGCTGATCGATTGAATCTTAGAAGTGAAGCCATAACCCTTGTCGTCCATGGTGTGGGAGGAATGAAAGTACAAGATACAACAAAACGATACCTCCTAAAGATCCGGATCTGTACAGAAAAGGGCAACTTCAAGTTCCACCAACTCCTCTGTTATGGCTTGGACAGCATTGCGGACATCCACATACATGTGACAGCCAAAAGACTCCAAAAGTTTTTTCCAGACGTCCTTCTCAAAGAATTGGAGAGGCCGAAAGAAATACAGCCTTTGATAAGCCAAGTCTTTTCTGGGCAAAGTAAAGGACAGAAAGAAGAGGCCTCACCAAATATTGTTGACCTGCCAAATCAGCTAAAGGAAAAAGATAATAAGGCACTTGGTCTTGGCTACATTGTGGCTGAGGACAAGTTGCATGTCATGGTGAGAGTCAACTTCTCCAGACGAAAAAAGAAAATGAGGCTTGGCCAAGATCTGTTGCTGGAAGAAGTTCGATCACGGACACCAAACCTATTGACAAGAAGTGATTTGCTAAGTCAAGCATCAGATCCACTCGCAGTCACCTTTTCAGATGGCAGTGAAACATCTTACGGTGCTGTCCTCTACCTATGATGGAATTGCCAAGAACAAACAACAGTTCAACTAGTGGAGTCAAAAGCAAAGCTAATGCCCCTAGACCACAAGGGGGATGCAGTCAAAGCGGAGCTTTGTGGTGCTGTCTTTGCAAGCCGCCTGACAAAGTACTTTGAACAATACACAGCCAGATCAAAATTAAGCAGTGATTCCATTTATTGGACAGCCAGACAGTTCTTGGAGCTATCCAGCGTGAGAGCTACGGGTTTCAGACTTTCTCCGCTAATAGGATCGGAGAGATTCAAAGTAACACAAGGCTAGAGGACTGGTGGTGGATCCCTGGACCACACAACATAGCTGACATCATCACCCGAGGAGCTGGGCCAACAGACCTTGATGTCAATTGAGAGTGGCAGCACCTCGGAGCCTACGTGCCAAAACCCTGGCCATGATCTTGTAATCCGTGCAGAGCAGGGAGATCGGCCTGTAATTCTCAAAATGGTCCTTGTCCCCCTTCTTCTATAAGAGGGTTAGGATCCCCTCCCTCATCGTTGTGCCAAGAAGACCCCCCTCCAAGAGTGAATTCATCACCTCGAAAAAATCCCTCCCTAGAATCCCCCAGAAAGCAACATAGAACTCCTTTGGCAATCCGTCAATTCCAGGCACCCTGCCTGCTGGCAACCCCTTCATAACCCCTTCAAGTTCAGCCATCGTTACCGGCCGCTCCAACTCCTCCACCACCTCAGCAGGCAACTTCCCCTCCAACCCCCCGAGAAAACGGCTTGCCCCAGAGCAGTCAACCAACTGCTCCCCAAACGCCTCCCCGAAAAAATCTTTACGGCCTCCATCCCCTCCCTATCCACCCCCCCCACCCCCACCCCCCTATTCTCGGTGGCTACCATAGCCTGCAAATGCCATGGATGTCTTGTCACGTTTCCTGTTTTGTTTTGTAGTCCTTCCTGTTTGGTCCCTGTGTGGCTTTCCCACTTGCTCTCTGTTGATTTCCTTACTCCTCCCTAATTACCTCCACCTGTGTCTCATTGTTTCCTTCCCTGTCTTGTATATTTAGTCCCCAGTCTGTCTATTGTTCGTCGCGTGTTCTTACTTGTCATTTCGTCAGTCGTCAGCATTCTAGTCTTGTCTTGCCTTGTTTTCCTGACCTTTGCCTGCCTATCCTTGACCACCGTTTTTGCCTGCCGTCCTTGTACCTTTGCCTGATCATTGCCTACCTGTGTAACGACCTTTTTCTGGATTAAACGACTTCATCTTATTCCCTTGCCTGGAGTTTTGCATTTGGGTCCTGGGGTCACGACTGTGATAGCAAAGAGCGTTGTAGCCCCTCAAACTTCTCCCTCCCCGCCCGCGCCTTGTCCGTGCAGTACAAAATGGCTAAAATCCGGGTTTTGCGCTTCACCGGTTCCCACCACTCGACCACCGAGCCAAACCACGGCTTCAGCAAGACCCACACCCCATAATGTGCAATGTAGGACCTACGGAAAGCCGCTTCCTCCAACACTGTGCAGTTTAACTTCCAGAAACCCCTACATAAAAGGGGCGCAGACACCCAAAAAATAACCAGAAGCTGACTATGGGCAGAGAACCACACCGGCGACACTGCAGCGCTATGTACGGTGGTTGCCTCGGGCAAAAAAACTAAGTCAATGCGGCAGCGGGAACCCCGGGAATTGGCCCAAGTGAACCCATCCCCTGTGGAATCCACATCTCTAAACCCTTCCTGAAATATAAACCCCTGCAAGACTTCCCTCAGATACGGCAAACTTTTGGTAAACATTGAAATCCCCCCCTGAAACTACCACCCTATTGGTGACGCAGACATTGGGTAAGGCCAAAAAAAGTTCCTTGCGCCCCCGCGGCTCAGCCGGAGCATACACATTAGTAAAACGAAAATAAACTCCTCTCCAATTTGCGTCCACCACCAGGACCCGCCCCTGCACCACTGAAAAACTGCCTGAAATGTGATAGTCCCTATCCCCAAATAATATTCCAACCCCTGATGAATGCCCGACCCCCCCACCCCCGACCTGGACTCACCCTTGTGCCATCCCCCAGAAAACACCCCCACGTCCCCCCATCCCTCAAATGAACTTCTTGTAAAAAAAAAACCTGAAAAGAAACATGTCACAAGTACTGAAAAACACCTCCACGCTTTCCCCGATTCCTCATCCCCCGCACATTCACAGTTAAAACAGAGAACAAACTCATGACTTAACCTCTTTCAGTCTCTCCCACGGTCCCTTCAGCCTCCCCCCCGAGAGAGCCATCTGGACCATAAGACCCCAACTCCTGCAGGTAGGCCACACTGCTGGGCGATCCGGCCTCCAGAAAAGAGTGTGTTGGGCTTAAAGGTGACGCCAGCCCCAACTCCACAGGCCGAGACTCCACCCCATAGCCATCCACCAGAGTCACCATGTTGGAGCCCTCCACAGGACCAGCCTTTACAGCCACCGGTCCACTGGACTCCCCTTCTCCCGAATCCCCGGTGAGGATGTCATAGCGGCCCGACAGCGAAAAAGGGGCCCCATTGGGTTGAGCCTCTGCATGTTGTCCGGCCCGCATCCACTTTCTCCTCCTGCCCTGGCCGACCAGGCTCTGGCGACAATTCTGGCTGATCCCCTCCTGAGGACGTCAATCTCCTCATCGCCCCTCCAGTAACAGCCCCGGCTGACTCCCCTATGTCTGAACTCCTCTCCCAGTCCGCCCAGGACCCTTCCATGGGCAGAGAGTCCCCCAGGCCTACCAGCACTCCCTCACCCAGATATCCCGGTAATTATTCCACCGTGTCCTCGGCCCCATCAGCCGGAATGGCTCCGCACCTGGATCAGCTTCAGCAGCCGTTGCTGCCTTCCCTGCTGGAAGGTCACCCTCCACCCCCCGGACCTCCTGCGGTTCCTCCACCAAAGGTCCCAGGCTTGGGCCCATACTCTCCCCTGCCACTGCCGCATATGTGCAGCCTTGAGAAGGGCAGACCTAAAAAAGGTGGCCTGTTTTCCCACACCCATTGCAGGTTTTTGGTGCACTGCATGAGGCTGCTCCATGTCCCTCCCCTCCACAGTTCCGGATCAGCGTGCAGCCAGCCGCCAAATGTCAGAAAAAGCGAGACTGTTGGGATCTGGGGAAGGCTGGCTGGGGTTCTTTCCCACTTTTTCCACCAGGGGGCTTCCTGGAGGTTCCTGGAGGGCGTGGTTTCGCGGCTGCACACCTGACGCATATCTGACTCATTTGAAGGAGTATATCTGGGTGGAGCTGTTTGCCAGTTTTGGTTGCTCCTCCGTGACGCCTTGGCCGCCTGACCCGAGTGACTTGCCGGAAGGTTTTTTCACCCTGGATTGCTGTTCCTCCGCTGACCAGCCTATCCCCCTCCTTCCCTGAGCCCCGGCCTCGCGGACCCTCCAGTCCCAGACCTCCAGCCGAGCTTTCCCCTGCGAATCCTCAAAATCCAGAGATCCAGCCGTTGTCAGAGAGAAAGAAAGATAAGAGACCTCTCACCTTCTCCTGTCCATATCTGCACGTTGTTTTCTAATAAATTTCCCTAACCTGATCTGCCTCCGGAGTGTGTTCTGCACATGTGGGTTCAGAGAATTGATCACACCATGACAGAGACTGCCTAAAAAAACTCGGTTGACCCGAGTAAAACAAAAAAAACCTTTCCCATCCGAGTGAAAAAAAGGCAGGAGGGTGTCGAAGGCCATCCCCACTCTCAGGATCCTCCCCGAAGAGAACCCGGAACTGTCGCCGACCTGACCAAATACCGTAATTGTCCTCAGGTATTTCACCGGCTTGTCCACCTTCCCATACTTTCCCAGAAAAATAGCCACTGCTGCGTTGCTCACATACGGGTTGTACATTTGCACTATGACGACCCGCACATTCCTCTGTCCCAAAGGCTCCACCTTGAAAAGGGAAAAGGGAACAGACTCTTCATTGGCCTTGCAAGTCATTAGCAAACCGTCGTATGTAACCTGGCTGTGCAGAATAACATCGTAGCCGTTGTCGGAAGAATTCCACTGCAGGCAGAAGACATGGTGGACCTGGGTCCACCTTGAGCCCGTCGATCAGTACCGTCTTAACAAACCAATCCCGTCCTCCAACCGCCGTCTCCTTCCAAACGAACCTCACACAATTGCGCAGGCCAGCCTCCCTGGCTCCCTGGCGCAAGTTTTTGTGATGTATCAAGAGCCACGGTCTCCAGGGTAATGTCAGCATACGACCAAGAAGGACGAACCACATCCAACAGGATTAACGGTGGACGCAAGAGGAAGATGTCTGAAAGGGATGTTCGGGTGCTAACCCGGATTGGATCCTAAAAACATAAAACCACGGCTGCCCAAATCACGGCAGAATTAAATGTGCACCTCAACTCTCCTGTTTCCACCAAAACTGTCCATCGGGAGCTCCACAGGGTCAATATACACGGCCGGGCTGCTATAGCAAAACCTTTGGTCACTCATGCCAATGCCAAATGTCAGTTTCAATGGTGCAAGGAGCGCAAATCTTGGGATGTGGACAATGTGAAACATGTATTGTTCTCTGATGAGTCTGCCTTTACTGTTTTCCCCACATCCGGGAGAGTTACGTTGTGGAGAAGCCCCACAGAAGCGGACCACCCAGACTGTTGCATGCCCAGAGTGAAGCATGAGGGTGGATCAGTGATGGTTTGGGCTGCCATATCATGGCATTCCCTTGGCCCCATACTTGTGCTAGATGAGCACATCACTGCCAAGGACTGCCGAACCATTCTGGAGGGCCATGTGCATCCAATGGTTCAAACACTGTATCCTGAATTACGTGACGTGTATCAGGATGACAATGCACCAATACACACAGCAAAACTGGTGAAAGATTGGTTTGATGAACATGAAAGTGAAGTTGAACATCTCCCATGGCCTACACAGTCACAAGATCTCAATATTATTGAGCCACTTTGGGGTGTTTTGGAGGAGCGAGTCAGGAAACATTTTCCTCCACCAGCATCACGTCGTGACCTGGCCACTATGCTGCAAGAAGAATGGCTTAAAATCCCTCTGACCACTGTGCAGGACTTATATATGTCATTCCCAAGACGAATTAACGCTGCATTGGCTTCTTCCGGCTCTCGGCGAGTGCAGACGTGTTTCTCTCTGCTCCCTCCCCTGCCCTTTTTGCCTGCTTGCTATCTTTGTCCTGTCGTATCTCAGAGCCTCTTTCTGCATTTTCACTTCCTAAAGCCTAACATCAACCATGGATTTGGTCGGCTGGTCTCTCAACGCAATTGAGGCCACGACCCTGATGTACATTCACCGGAAAAGCCCATCATGGAGGCGTAAGCTGGCGTAAGCGTAGCGGTAAGCGTATCGACCCATTTCCGTTTCCGGTGTTAGCGGTGTTTGTGTGGTGGTAGCGCTTTTTTCTCTGCTCTCGCTAACTACCATATAACGTAATTATATTTCAGTGAGTTTGCCTAAGCACCAATAGTTCTTTCCATCTTGGGTGACTGCTGTTCTGTCTTATAGCGGATGTAACAAAGGTTCCGGTGGCTCTACCGTACTTTTGTTTAGCCGTTAGCGACTTTAACAGCTAGCGATGGCTTCTCCCTCTCGCTCTCCTGCTCTTTCTTGCTCGGTGTGTCTGATGTTTAGTTACTCCTCTGCCTCCTTTAACGGTAGTGGTATGTGTAACAAGTGTAGTTTATTTCTAGACATGGAGGCGAGGCTCAGTGCGTTAGAAGCTCGGCTCCGCACCGTAGTAGAGCAGCCCTTAGCTAGGCTAGCTAAGTGTAGCCAGTCCCAGGTAGTCGGTGCGGACCGACCTGAGTTAGCTGATAGCCGTCCCCCCCCTTCCCCCCCTCCGGCCTCTCCTGAGCAGCCAGGAAAAGGAAGCTGGGTGGCTGTCCGAGGGAGGAATAGCCGTAAAAAGTCTAAGCACCTAGTGTCCCCTCAATCTGTTCGAGTAGCTAACAGATTTTCCCCACTCAGCGAGCCACCCGCTGAGAAGCCTACCCTAGTAATAGGTAGCTCGATTCTGAGGAATGTGAAGCTGAACACCCCAGGGAGTGTAGTTAAGTGTATTCCTGGGGCCAGAGCGGGCGACATTGAGTCTTATTTGAAACTTCTGGCTAAGGGTAGACGTAGATACAGTAAGATTGTTATCCACGTAGGCGTTAATGACTCCCGGTTACGTCAGTCAAAAGTCACTAAGTTTAATGTGGAGTCAGTTTGTAGATATGCTAGAACAATGTCGGACACCGTAGTTTTCTCTGGCCCCTTGCCCAACCTGGTTAGTGATGACATGTTTAGCCGCATGTCATCTTTCCGTCGATGGCTGGCGAGGTGGTGCCCAGCCAATGATGTGGTCTTTGTGGATCACTGGCAGTCTTTCTGGGGAAGACGTGGCCTGATTAGGAGAGACGGCATCCATCCCACGGGGGAGGGAGCCGCTCTCATTTCTAGAAACCTAGCCAACATTGTTAGCAGACTAGATCGGTGACAGTCCAGGGTTGAGAGGAGGAAGCGGAGTTGTAATGTAACCCTCTTCTCTGCTCCTCCATTCCAGGAGTTATTTAGTGAAAAACCTATAGAGACGGTGTCTGTCCCCCGGTCATTTACATTTTTAAAATTAAGGGTAAACAGAGGAGTTGTCTATAGAAACCTCATAAAAGTTAAAACCACAAGAGAAATAGTGCATGCAAATAAGAGAGTAAAATGTGGACTCTTGAATATCAGATCTCTCTCTTCTAAAGGTGTGCTTGTAAATGAACTCATATCAGATTATAAGATTGATTTATTTTGTCTTACTGAAACCTGGCTGGGTGATGGAGAATATGTGAGCCTAAATGAATCCACCCCTCCCAGTCACAGGAATACTCACATTCCTCGAAGCACAGGTCGAGGAGGTGGAGTTGCAGCTATCTTTGACTCCAGTCTTGTAATCAGCTCTAAAGCTAAATTGAACTATAACTCTTTTGAAAGCCTTGTTCTGAGTCTTTCCCACCCAAGCTGGAAATCACTGCAACCTATTCTATTTATTATAGTGTACCGACCACCCGGTCCATACTCTGAATTCTTATCTGAATTTGCAGAGTTTTTGTCAACTTTAGTCCTTAAAACGGACAAAGTAATTATTGTAGGGGACTTTAATATCCATGTGGATGTTGAGAATGACAGCCTCAGTACTGCATTTATCTCTCTGTTAGATTCCATTGGCTTCTCTCAGAGTATTCATGAACCGACTCACTGTTTTAACCACACCCTTGATCTTGTTCTGGTGTATGGTATTGAAATTGAACATTTAATAGTGTTCCCACATAATCCGTCTTTATCTGACCACTGTTTGCTAACTTTTGAGCTTTTACTGCTGAATTACCCTCCACTGGGTAAAAATGTCTACTCAAGATGCCTGTCTGATAGTGCTATAGCTAAATTTAAGGATGTGATTCCATCAGCTCTACATCCATTATCAAGTCGTACAGAAACAGAGGACTCTTATGTTAATTTCAGTCCTTCCCAAGTTGATCATCTTGTTGATAGTGTTGAAGGCTCGCTGCGAACAGCTCTTAACGCTGTAGCCCCCCTAAAGAAGAAAATTCTTAAACAAAGACGGTTAGCTCCATGGTATACTAGTGAAACCCGCAAATTAAAGCAGATATCTCGGAAACTTGAGAAGAACTGGCGTTCAACCAAGCTGGAAAAGTCTCGTTTATCTTGGCAAGATAGTCTTAAAGCTTATAGGAAGGCCCTCCGTGATGCCAAAGCAGCATATTACTCGTCTTTAATTGAGGAAAATAGGAACAATCCCAGGTTTCTTTTCAGCACTGTTGCCAGGCTGACTGAGAGCCACAGCTCTATTGAATCAAGTATTCCAATAGCTCTCACTAGCCATGACTTCATGAGCTTCTTTAACGATAAAATTCTAGCTATCAGGAACAAAATCCACCAAGACTTGCCCTCAACTACCATCGACTTATCTTTAAACTCAGTAACTGTAGGACCAGAACCAGTTATATGTTTTGACTGTTTTGCTTCCCTCAATCTTTGTCAACTAACTTCAATCATTTCTTCATCCAAACCTTCAACTTGCCTCTTGGATCCCATCCCGACTAGGTTGCTTAAAGAAGTCCTACCCTTAGTCGGTACTTCTCTGCTAGACGTGATCAATCTGTCCTTATTAACAGGCTATGTGCCACAGTACTTTAAAGTTGCTGTAATTAGGCCTCTTTTGAAAAAGCCTAACCTGGACCCAGATGTTTTAGCCAACTATAGACCTATATCCAACCTTCCATTCATCTCCAAGGTCCTGGAGAAAGCAGTAGCCAAACAGCTGTGTGACTATCTACATAGCAATAGCTTGTTTGAGGATTTTCAGTCAGGATTTAGAGCTCACCATAGCACAGAGACCGCACTGGTGAAAATTACTAATGACCTCCTAATGGCATCAGACAAAGGACTCGTCTCTGTCTTGGTTTTATTAGATCTTAGTGCTGCTTTTGACACCATTGACCATCAGATCCTACTACAGAGACTGGAACATTTCATCGGAATCAAAGGAGCCGTTCTAAGTTGGTTTAGGTCCTATTTATCAGATCGGTTTCAGTTTGTGCATGTTAACGATGAGTCCTCCATGCATGCCAGAGTTAGCCACGGAGTTCCGCAAGGATCCGTTCTCGGACCAATCCTCTTTACTTTATATATGCTTCCTTTAGGTAATATTATCAGGAAACACTCTATCAACTTTCATTGCTATGCAGATGATACTCAGTTATACCTATCGATCAAGCCAGATGAAACTCATCAGCTAGCTAAGCTTCAAATGTGCCTTCAGGATGTTAAAACCTGGATGACCTGCAATTTTCTAATGTTAAACTCAGCTAAAACTGAAGTTATTGTTCTAGTGCCTAAACACCTTCGTGACGCATTATCTAGAGATATAGTTTCCCTGGATGGCATCGCCCTGGCCTCCAGCACCACTGTGAGAAATCTTGGAGTTATCTTCGATCAGGACATGTCGTTTAACTCTCACATTAAGCAAATTTCAAGAA